TTATTAATACACACACACATACACTCCGGCCACGAGTGTCTATTTGTAAGGGTGTCTCGTCTGTAATATTTATTAAAATAAAAGTTCATGCACTGCGGTTATTCACATAAACTAGGCTTCCATACATATACGCGTTTTAGCACAAATACATAAATCTGTCGCGAATGAAATCAAATCTAACATCTCAAGTTAGCGGGACGCAATAGAAACTTCACTGGATTCGAATTTATGTGAACAGAAATATGTGAAGGAATGGAAAATTTAAGACGATTGTTCCTTCACGACTGCTCTCCGATAATTCCCAGAACAAAATACTGTCAATGCTTAAATGCAGCTTCACATCAGAAAAAGAAAGAATGCATCCTGTCAAGAATTTGTGTGAGAAAAAGAGAGAAACATAGAGCGTGTAACCTGGAAGGCGCGAGTTGAGTGTTACAAGATGCCCAGGCGTCCGAGACCGATCGCTTTTGTTAACCCATTCGCTGCTAAGTTATTTCTTGGTAAGAGCACATATATTATCATACATAATCATTTAGAAGCAATTTGTAAGGGTGTCTCGTCTGTAATATTTATTAAAATAAAAGTTCATGCACTGCGGTTATTCACATAAACTAGGCTTCCATACATATACGCGTTTTAGCACAAATACATAAATCTGTCGCGAATGAAATCAAATCTAACATCTCAAGTTAGCGGGACGCAATAGAAACTTCACTGGATTCGAATTTATGTGAACAGAAATATGTGAAGGAATGGAAAATTTAAGACGATTGTTCCTTCACGACTGCTCTCCGATAATTCCCAGAACAAAATACTGTCAATGCTTAAATGCAGCTTCACATCAGAAAAAGAAAGAATGCATCCTGTCAAGAATTTGTGTGAGAAAAAGAGAGAAACATAGAGCGTGTAACCTGGAAGGCGCGAGTTGAGTGTTACAAGATGCCCAGGCGTCCGAGACCGATCGCTTTTGTTAACCCATTCGCTGCTAAGTTATTTCTTGGTAAGAGCACATATATTATCATACATAATCATTTAGAAGCAGAAAACCAAAGACGAGTATACTCGTCGTTGGCAATGGGCCTTCAAAAGAGCCTGCATGTTATAATATATTTAAAGCAGGACGAGTATACTCGTCCTGGCAATGCGTGACACCCTGCCAAAGACGAGTATACTCGTCCTTGGCAGCGAATGGGTTAAT